CAAACTGATATTGACATGAGCCTCGTGCTGATTTCGAGGTCCATGAGTGACCTATCAATGACCTAAGTTTCTTGAACTGTAATAGCAGGGAAGAATCCATAGATTACTTGTTTTTTTGGAAGTTCTTTTATATCCTTCGTATGACTTGGTGTATAACCAATAATATGAATTTCGTCCTTGCCTTCCAAAGCTCTGATCAAATTGGTAGACTAGAGGAAAGGTGTGCTAGTAGTACTGAGTTGGTATGGTTTTTGTGATATTTTAGACCCGCCCTAGTTGTTCGGGTTGTAGATCCTGATAACCCAAATAATCTAACCCAACTCAAACAAACCCATAAAAATTATGGTTGGGTTGGTTTAGTTCACCGAGTTTTAATGAAAACCCAAAATTGCCATCCTACCTAGCTTTTAATATACTCTATAGAAAGGGTTTGGGTTATAAATATAAATGAGCTTAAGAATTTTGGGTTAACAATAAATTCATGAACTTCATGGCTATCTATTATCACAAGTTTGATTAGTTCAACTTGAAAACCGCTCAATCTATAACCCAACCCATATGGGTTGGGTTATCAGTTTCTTTGAAGGCATTCTTCCTTTTGTGGCAGGTTGGTTTCTTTGCAGTTCTTTGGGCCTTTGGCCTGAAAGGAAGAATAAAGTTTTATAACGATTTGGAGAGCTTGGGAGAAGGTTGTTAGGAATTTCCCTCTATACTAGAGCCTGCAACAAGCTAAACAACACGGATGCAGATCGAATAGGGGGGCTACTTTTCTATTGATACTAACTGGAAATTACCAACCATTACAAGCAACGGTAAGTCAGAAATTAACCAAACAGAAATCAGACCTCACCAACTTTCGAGAGAGCTGGTAACCTCTCTGTAACAGTCCAAGCCTACTGCTAGCATATATTGTCTTCTTTGGGGTTTTCTCTTTCAGGCTTCCCCTCAAGGTTTTTAAAACGTCTCTGCTAGGGAGAGGTTTCCACACCCTTATAAAGAATGTTTCGTTCCCCTCTCTAACCGACGTGGGATCTCACACTCTCCTACCCATGAGCCCTAGCAACACAATTCACCTAGAGCCTAAGTGTACCCAAAGCCCAAAATAATGATACCCCACCTCGCCTTACAACGACAATGCATCCTCACTCCCCCTATAAGTTTGGGTAACTTGAGGTCATACTGAGGTTTGGTCGTTAGCTAAGTCGAGCCTCTATCCCGATGTTGGCCTCCAAGGACTTCTCTAATTACCTTTTACATCTTATTCTTATGGATTAGAGCTATGTATCATTAGTAATAACAAACGTACATATGTGTATATATATCCAAAACTATATGCTATAACTATTACCACTACACTCACAAACTAGAATTAGGTCCAAAACCATACAGTCACTTTCACCAAAATGAAGCAGAGTAAAATCATGAACTAGAAGCACAAGTTGCAACCAAAATCACCTAGTAGGATTAGGTCCAAAAGCATAACCTAGAACTAGAACATAGAACAGCATGTGCAAAATTGAAACCGCAGGACACAACGAAAATCAAGAAACAGAACTGCAATCTACTACATGAACTTTTTATGAATTTGGTGAAAGTTCTTCCATACTCTACATGTTGACGACCAAGTTCATCAAACTTAACTTGTTGGTTAAATATTTAGCAAGCTCAGCCTATTACTTGGCAATTCAGCCAATCTCAACTTCCTACACTGCCAAGCGAACTTCAGAAGCATTCATGCATACAAAATCTATTGATTTACAATTATTTATGATATAGAAATTAGCCATTTGTTGCTAGACTCATGATATCTCATTTACTTTTTTTATAAAGAGAAAGAAGAGAAAAAAAAAGATGGCTCGTTCATTAGTGATAAAGAGACAAGTTAGAAATAGAAAGTGAGTAGCTTTAATGATTGTTGCTGACTATGATAGGCAAACCAATAATTTTTCAAACTAGTGTTTTTAATAGCTCATGCTTGCTCGAAAAATTCCATTCCCTCCAAAATAAGTCATCTAATAGTTAATTGGTGAGTTTTTGCTCGAGGGTCACTTTCTCTCGTATCCATAAGCTATTACAAAAAGGATTGATAGACTATACTACCCCAAACAAAATTACAGATGGAAGCACTAAACCATTCTAATAGCTTTCGCAGTCCAAAAAGGAGAGAGGAGGACATGTTAATTTTTTAAAAGAAAAGGAAAGAGGAAGAAAGGAAGTTTGATACTTTACACATGCCTCCATGGCATTGGGAACAATATAACCCAATCATAATCGAACGGAAAGATTTTTATTGCTAGCAATAACTTTCAATCGTTACAATCATGCTTTGCAATTAATCGAATGATTGAGGTACACTCTTTCTTTCATTATCTCCTCAAGAAGACAAAGGCAGAAAGTGGACATTCAAATGCCAAAATGAAAGGCGAGCTAGGAGGATGAAATTGTGTTTGCCATACGAACTAAGTTTGGTTATTTTTACTTGAATAAAGTATTCTCTTAAGAATGACAAAGGACTTTGAATATATGAAATTTAACTGAACCTCTAGAATTCAAAATAGGGTAAATTACTTGTGAGATTCCACATCAGCTTGAGAGGGGAACCAAACATTTCTTATAAGGGTGTGGAAATCTCTTCCTATTAGACGCAATTTAAAACCGTGAGGCTGACGACGATACGTAATAGGCCAAAACGGATAATATCTGCTACCGATGAGTTTTGACTGTTTCATATGATATTAGAGCCAGACACCGAGCATTGTGCCAGCAAGGACGCTAGCCCCCCATAGGAGGTGAATTGTGAGATCCCACGGCAGTTGGAGAGGGGAACGAAGCATTCCTTAAAAGGGTGTGGAAACATCTCTCTAGTAGACGCATTCTAAAACCGTGAGGTTGACGGCGATACATAATGAGCCAAAGTGGACAATATTTGCTAGTGGTGGGTTTGGGCTGTTACATACCCACTTCTCTAAACAATGTTATCTTATCTATTTGCCCATCTAGCCAAATTGGAGAGAGAGAACATAGATGATACAAAGATAGAATAACTTGTCTAAAATGGAGAGAAACAATAGACAACCGATGTGAATGTGACATCTTGCACTGGTTCTTTACAGTATCTAGTCTATTCATTTTACATGCTCGCCATTTGCAAGTCTTGAAAGCAACAGGCATTGATAATGTGGATCCAATCAGCTTTTTGGCCACAAGTGATATATGATCTAAATTCAAGTGGAGTAGCTATGTAATCATTTCATTGTGGTCCCAAAAGAAATTGCACATCAGACTGGGGAAAAATACGAGGGTCCAAAGAGAACTTACCCAGCGCTGGTCATAAAACAATGAGCTCCATTCTAGACAAACTCATCAAAACTCATCTTTACAGGCTTCCAGATCCTCATCCCAGGGATTCATGAAACCAAACAATAAAGCATCTACAATCAAATCAGAGGAAGAGTAAAAAATTCCTATCTGATTAAACAGCCAAAAGTACAAAAAAGAAATCCAGAAACGGATGGAAAGAACTGTTACCGTAGATGAATATGTTGATCGCTCAATTGCTGCTCCAGAAATACACAAAAGAATTGAACGGAAGTGCAGAGATTCCTGATTGCTCAAATGAACGGCCACAGCTATAAGCAACAATGTCCATTACAAAATAAAAACACAAACAAACGAATCGTTAACCAAAATTTACGTTTCCGAAAAGAACAATATTCAGCAAAGACGAAGAAGAAACGCTCACCTCTTCAGCCCAGCTCTATTGGTGGAGGAGAAGAGAAGAGAAGAGAGCAACATGAAAATGGTACGCGCGAAGCCAAAAATGGCCCGTTCAGTTCTTCCGACCGCACCCCGCGTAATTCCTTAAAAAAAAAAAAAAAAAAAATAATAATAATAATAATAATAATAATCCATTTACTCTCTTTTCTTTCCATTTTCAAATTTGTTTAATAAATTTGTTAATTTTAAAAATATCAAATATCTCTGACATATTAAAAATTTATAAAATAAAATCGTCTCTTAAATATAAAATTAAAATTAAAATGTATGGCTAATAATACTATAAACTTTTAAATTTGTCGAATATATTTTAATTATTTAAAATATAAAATAAGTCAATAATCTATCAAATTTCAAATTTAGTCCGGTAATAAACAAAAATATTAATAATCTATCCAATTAAAAATTTAGTCGGCTAATAAACATAAATATGCACGTTCAAAAATTTACTAATGATCTATTAGACTAAAAGCTCGCACTTATTTGATATAAAATTAAAAATTTAAATATCCGATAAAGTTTATGACACAAATCCAGATTGGACGCAAACTCAAAAATTTTAAATAGGACGTTTTAAGGCCCGTAACCAAATAGAGAAAAAAAAACTACTCAAACTTGTAATTTAATTTTTAGGAGTCGTTTGGATGGAATTGAATAGGGTTGGGATGAGTCGGGTTAGAATCTCTTTATTTGGGCATAATAGTATCATCTCGTATTATGAACATTTAATAGTAATTTTGTCGTTGAATTTTAAACTCGAAAATCTCGAGATTTGACTTTGGTAGCAATTTGGTATACGCCATAGTCTTTCACAACAACCTTCTATTATAAGCAATACAATATGACAAGGAACACAAAATAACATTATAGTTATAGACATGAAGGTTGCGTTATCACAAAACATGATAGCCAACAGTGCACCACGTCATTCCCTAATCATGTGTCATAGACACTTACCAACGCCGACATGACACGTTTGGTCAAGTTCAATGATCTTGACCACGACATAAAGAAGGAATTAATATTTTTTCGATTTTATAGTTTTTTTTTTCAAGAATATTCATTAAAATTTCATCACACGCACACACACACATATATATATATATATATATATATATATATATATATATATATATATATATAATATAAATAATAAAAATAAAAAAATTAATTTGATAAGAAGGCAATTTAAGTAGAAACAAAAATGGTAAGAGAAATGGAAAATTCACAAAGCGCTTGTTCAACGCGAGGAACGAGGAGTTATTAATCGTCCACAGCACACCTACCCATTTCGCCCATACCCACTACTAATATCCATTCATTATCCAATTCCCATACGAAATTCAACTCATGAACTGATATTTTATCTTCTTCCTCGCACAATCCATCTCTTTCCCACCACACAGGTTAGGTTTTCTTCCCCTTCTTCCTCCTTGCGAGTTATATGCATGTTGTTTGATGTTCGTCAGCTCTTAGAATTGAATTGAATTTAACCCAACTTGTATGAATAAATTCATTTTCTAGTGTGAAAGAATGTCAATCGAGGGGCTAAGTTATTGATATTAGTAGATTGCCCATTGGGATTTGGGATTATGGGTTATTTTTACGGGACCTGATTGAGCTTTAATTGTTTTTGACGTAATTTCCAGCAATTTCTTAACAGATCATTTGGGTTTTCTTGTTTCTGGGTTGTGGGAAACAGCTATGGAATGAAGTCGGGGTTCAGATGAGGGTTAATCTGAAGTTTTACGAGTGTGGCCATCGACATATTATAGGGTGTTCTTGAACTAAGATGTATGGTATCCCAAGCTGGGACACCATTGGTGATATGGGTTACGCTTTGAGTAGACTAGAGATTGGTTCTGATTGTGATGGCGACATGAGTATCAATGCAGCGGTTGAAGGTCAAGTGTCCAATAAGCCTTTGAATTATTTAGATGATGAAATTGCACAGCTTACTAGAATGAAATCAGGGCCTAGTTCACATTTGAGTCAAGTACTGCCTGGGAAGCGGGAGGTATATATTTCCCCTGTAAAAATGTTGGCGGGCCGGGAATGTAACTATTCAGGGAAGGGAAGGTTCTCAGCTGGAGATTGTTGTCACATTTTGAGCAGATATTTGCCTGTTAATGGTCCATGGCTTGTGGACCAAATGACGAGCCGAGCCTATGTCTCGCAGTTTTCGTCAGATGGTTCTCTATTTGTTGCAGGATTTCAGGTACCTCCGAGCAACCCTTGTATTAAATGTTAATATTTGAAATCTCGTTGTGGCTTCGGATCAAATTTGGTCAGTTGGAGAACAAAATTTAGCTTTGTAGCTCTCTCTCTATAACTTATTATTTTTTGTTTAATAATTTTGATCTTTTTCGTTTGTCCTAATTGTACTATTATCTGTGTTGTTCCTTTCCTGTTTTTAGTTCTCATAAATGAGTTAAATGTGCATAATCCTTGTAGTGTCTATATTTCCTCTGTCGAAAAATTGGCTCGTGGGAGATTATTACCTTGTACTGTAGCTATTAACTAATTACGAGGACATTTGTTGGCAGGGGAGCCACATTAGAATTTATAATGTGGATAATGGGTGGAAGGTTCAAAAGAACATTCTTGCAAAAAGTTTGCGGTGGACAATTACTGATACATCACTTTCTCCTGACCAGCATTTCCTTGTAAGTGTTTACTCGAGAGACTGTATGTGTATCAAGCCTTAGGTATCTGCTTCTGTTGCACTTTGGCATTATAGAATAGCTTGTTGGCTATTTATCTTCTCTAGTTATCTAACATTTGTTTGGGAATAAGTAATTATTAATTGTAATATGTTGCATGTCTTAATTCGCAGATTCTTGTGCTTGAATTTTCAATTAACTTAGTTAAAAATCTTCTTGCATGTCTTTACGTGTTACTGTTTGGTTGCTAAGGTTTTTGTTTATTTTGCTTGGTTAATTTTGATAAATTACAAATGTACATGTCTGGTCATAAAATCACAAGATTACGGAATTTTGGTTGTTCGTGATTGGGTTGAAAACCTTGTTTCTTAACAATTGGCTGAAACCCCATTGAAAGAATAGTAGCATTATCATGATGGAAAAGCATCCTTTTGATGTTTTAGGATGAATTTATTATTCATTGTTTTTGAATAATCTAATTTATTGGTCTTGTTGTTTAAGGTCTATGCCAGCATGTCACCAATCATCCACATTGTTAACGTGTCATCCGCCGAAACAGAGTCTCTGGCAAATATTACGGTATGGGTTCAAAATTTACTAAAATCTGAAATTTCAGTTGATATCGTGGATTGAAATATATTTCTTTGATGCTATATAACTCATATTATGTAATGGCATAAATCCTTGGCCAACCTCTTGTTTTATTGACTGTGATTCTCCGTACTTTGACTGTTTAGCTAATGTACTTTGGAATGTTGGAAGTATCTTAGCTACAAAAAGAATATATATATATATATATATATATAAGTCTACTTTAGTTGTTGGCATCTCTCTACTATCTGAGACCTTATTGAACTTCTAAGACTATAGGAAATCTGGATTTTTCATTAGTCATATTGAGTACCCTTTTCTCAATGTTAATTTTCTTGCTTCATTTTCATATTAAAACGATACAGGAGGTTCATGAGGGATTGGATTTCTGTGCACATGGTGATGGAAGAGATTCTTTTGGAATTTTCTCTGTGAAATTTTCAACAGATGGACGAGAACTTGTTGCTGGAAGTAGCGATGATTCTATATATGTCTACGATCTTGAAACTAATAAGCTTTCGCTTCGAATTTTGGCTCACAGAGTAATGTTCTAAATCATTCTCTAGTATTTACACAATATGCCTCATGTGCCTGTAGAGTTTTTTTTTTCCCAATATTTTGCTTTATTGTTAGTGCATGCAAAGAAAAAAAAAAAAAAAAAAGAAATAACTTTAGGCATTTTAATGATTCAAACTGTTACATTTCTTGTATTCGTAAAAATCTGTGATATCCAATTGTTAGGAAAAAAAAATGAAGAAAGAAGAACTTTTCATTCTCCCTTGCTCTTTGATTTATCTAATTTATTGGCTTTATTGTTTAAGGTACATGTATGTTTTCTAGAGTTGACCTGATAGGCTACCTAACCTCAAATTTATGCAGAAAAGTACATCTTGCAATGAATTGCGAGACTTACTGAAGTTCTATATTCGAACTACTGAATAATTCCAAACTTTCTTTTGTAAGATGACATCCACAAAAGAGCAACAACCTGAATTCCTTTGTCCATTTACTACTAGACAGTTTGTCTGGTGTCACTGGTTGGGAGATGGTTTGATGATTGGTGATATGGTTGACAGTCTTAATCCTTCCTGTCAACGTGTGTCTAATTTGAATATCCTATACAGTATTCATGTAATTTTCCAGATCAGTTTGGTCTCCCGACATGGTTAGAAACATGTTTATGATGGAAACTTCGTGTGTATTCCCGAATCATTTTTTTTGGAATAGTTTCTGAAGGCTGTTCTTTGTTTTTAAGTATTGTTGCAAAAAAAAACATACTTTTATTCTTGTCTTTCCTTTCCCTTCTATTTTTATTTGTTTTGAAGTATCCTTAACTATTTCTCCCAACATCTACTGACCTTATATAGGCTAGAAACTTTCTGAAGCAGACAAAGAATTGGTAAGTTCAAGAGGATTCTTACCAGTTCATATACTAATTCTCTCTGTTGCACCCAGCGTTTTATTCATCTTTTATTTTGTTTCGAAAAATATTATCTTGTACTTCACTTAATCATCTTCATGAGCTAAACTTACTTACCTGTGGAGGAATCTTTGCATATTATGTACCTGCTGAGTTTTTTGTTAATTGTTTCATTACAAAATTTCCTTGCATTCTAAGTTTTCTCTTATTGGGTGCACAGTCTGATGTGAATACTGTGTGTTTTGCTGATGAAAGTGGCCATCTGGTTTATTCTGGAAGTGATGATACTTTCTGTAAGGTACAAATCCGCTACAACTTCGAGGACATTTTGCTACTTTTTGTCAAAGATTGACCACTTTAGTTTAGAAGGAAGCGTATGAATGTTTTGTTCCATTATTTAACAAATTTCCAATTTTTCTTGCATGAATCTTGGAGTGACTTTAGGCCTTGCAACCATAGTTTTCCCAAAACTTAGGAATTAGCCGAACCCAATGGTTTCAATCACCTAATGCAACTAACTATTTGCTAATCCTGAAAGCGTGCGGGCTCGAGGATTGTATATTTGAGAAGTTTGTTCTTTTCCTTGTATTAAAATGATAGATGTATTTTTGTAGGTGTGGGACAGACGCTGCTTTATATCTAAAGGTAAGGCTGCAGGGATTCTAGAAGGACATGTCGAAGGTATCACATTCATTGATAGTCGTGGGGATGGTCGATATTTAATTTCCAATGGTAAAGACCAGACCATCAAACTTTGGGATATCAGAAAGATGTCCAACAATGCTACTCAGTACGTACCCTTTTGATACTCTCTAGATATGCACTATATTTATACCTTTTCTTATTAGTCATTCTGGGTATTTGTTTCTCATCTGATGCTAAGAAACTGAGGGTCATTTTGTTTTCTCTGAGTAACTACTCTTCTACCATCATGAATTATTTTGTATTTCAAACGAGTTCTTATGATTTTTCCCCTTAATACAAGTGTGCTTGTTGTCTAATGCAATGCATGGCTTGAAAATAAAACACGAATAATAAATCAAATTGTATCGGTTTTGTAAGGAACCTTAAGAGGGAGTAAAAATCTCGGTCTCCACAATGATAGTTTATTTGAATTGTTTTTCCTATAAGTTGAAATATGGCAAGACGGCTCGTTTTTTGAAGACAGTAAGTATGGTATCTTTCCTAAAATGGAAACTCTTTTCATTCATGAACAACCCTCCTCTTTTGTTCCAGCTACAATAGGCCCAGAAACTATGATTGGGACTATAGATGGATGGATTATCCACTCCATGCAAAAAATTTGATGCATCCACGTGATCGATCTGTTGCTACATACAAGGGTCATTCAGTCCTGCGAACGCTTATCCGTTGTTATTTCTCCCCGGAATCTAGGTGAGCTTTTGTGGCTGCAACTGCACATTTATGACTGTATTACGACCAAGATGTTAACTATTTGCTCTGCTGCATGAAAATATTACCTGTGAAGTTTTGCATTATGCAGTAGTTTGTGCTATGCTATTTAAGCTTTGTTTCAAGGAAGTATTAATTTCATTCGATATCGGCTTCATTTTTCAATAGACCTTATTTTATTGTGAATCAAATTTCTAGTTATCGTGCTAGATACATTGAAGATGGTTAATAGTTGAGACTATATTTTTATTTCCCCTCTGCAGCACCGGCCAGAAGTACATCTACACCGGATCTCACAATTCTTGCGTTTATATCTATGATTTGGTAAGTCATTTGACATTTATTTATATGCATCTTATTTTCGTGTGAGGTTTTAAGTTGACGTCGGAGCCGGGAAATTATTTAATTTATACCTCCGACCCTCCTTAGTAATATAACATCAGAATATTAGTCCGATGCCACGCACATGGAAACATTTATTTATATTACTACTAATGTGCAAATGCAAGGGAGTTGGTTATACATAGGAGTGGAAGGGGAGGAAGGTAGGCAATGATTTAATTGTTTATGCTTAAGTGAGAATGCTCGAGAGGGCGGTTCTGATAGAACCCGACATATATTAGATTAATGTGAGGTACTTTGACTCTCCCTCTTTTGACATCACTCAAGCTCTGATTCAACCGCAGGATTGCCTGCCTTCATCTTCTAAACCACTCTATTTATAACAAAACTCTCTTATAAACTCTGTCTAATTACTAACAGTCTCTTAATATCCCAATAACATTCCTATCAGATTCTAAGTTCCCGGATATTGGGAGTTGCCGTACTGCTTTAGCTTATATATTTCAATACTTGCTCTTTTGGTTTCCATTCAACAATGTTGTCATTTGCAGATCATAACTTTCTTGGCTTGTGGACTAAGTCTATTGGCTTCATTGAAATCTCTTGCTGACTTTCTAGGACACGGGTCATAGCTGAATCACTGGTTTACCTTAAAGTTTACGGAACTCTTTGTTAGTTAGCTCACTTGTTGTTTCTTATGCTGAACACAAGCGAGGAGAGTGTTACTAAGTTTTTGGTTCATTATTATATTATCATGGTTTTAGAGCAAGGATTGTGTGTTTAAACTCTTGAAATATCATTTTCTATTTAATTAGTATCAATAGTGTGAGATCCCACATCGATTGGAGAGAGAAACGACTGCCAGCGAGGACACTGGGCCTCAAAAGGAAAAGCCCAAAGAGGAAATATCTGTTAGCAGTGGGCTTGGGCTATTACAAATGGTATCAGAGCCAGATATCGAGTAGTGTGCTAGTGAGGACGTTGGGCTCCGAAGGGGGGTGGATTGTGAGATCCCACATCGATTGGAGAGGAACGAGTGTCAGCGAGGACGATGGTCACAAAAGGAAAAGTTCAAAAAAGACAATATTTGCTAGCGGTGGGCTTTGAGCGGTTACAAATAGTTTTTTTTTGTTTGTTAATCATTGGATTGTGAACAATGAGTATAAAAATTATACATCCGCTAACCTATTTCTGGTCCTAGAAAATTGTATTCCATATATCTTATAACATTTTTATTTAGCATTATCTTTGTTGTTCTTATGTCCTTTGTAGTTAACTGGAGATCTAGTTGCAACACTGAAGCATCATAAATCACCAGTAAGAGACTGTAGCTGGCACCCTCAATATCCCATGCTTGTAAGCTCTTCATGGGATGGGGATGTTGTCAAATGGGAGTTTCCAGGCAGCGGTGAAGCACCGACTCCTCCGAACAAGAAGAGAGTCCGCAGGCGACATTTCTATTGAAAACTGCTGAAGAAAACTGTAAGGCAAGCTCTTTCTGGTGGATTATAGCTTGGCAAATGCAGTATATCTTGCTCTGTGATGCATGCATCCTATCATACTCTAAATAAGATGCAATTAGTATGCATTTTATATCTCACCGTTGCAGTATTTTGTTGGTTCTACTTAGACGAATCTTTGATATAATGTTTCTGTCTATAATCTATGTGAATAATATGATATAATACATACATACATACATACATATATATAGTGTATAAATTTGTTGAATAATGATCAACAAAATGGTGGAAATATATTTCTTCTTAATTCTCACCTTTTATTGTTTTTAGAGTAGGGATAGAATTATTATTGTTCTTATTTCTGCCGGTGCCACCCACTTCTAGATTGTTAGATTTGTTCAAAATATGGTAGAAAGTTAGATTTGGGTGAGATTCTGTTACATTTTACTTGTACTGTGAGATCCCACATCGGTTGGAGAGGAGAACGAAACATTCTTTAGGAGGGTGTGGAAATCTCTCCTTAGCAGATGCATTTTAAACCTATGAGGATGACGATGATAGGTAATGGGTCAAAGCGGATAATATCTGCTAGCGGTAGGGTTGGGTTGTTACAAATGGTTTCAAAGCCAGACAATGAGCGGTGCCAGCGAGGACGTTGGGCCCCCAAGAGGGGTGGATTGTGAGATTCACACCAGTCGGAGAAGAGAATGAAACATTTCTTATAAGGGTGTCGAAACCTTTCCTTAGTAGACACGTTTTACAACTGTGAGGCTGACGACATTACGTCATAAATATCTGCAAACGGTGGACTTGGAGCATTACAAATGGTATCAGAGCCCGACATCGGGCGGTGTGCCAACGAGGACGTTGGGCCTCCAAGGAGGGTGGATTGTGAGATCCTACATCAGTTGGAGAGGAGAATAAAACATTTCTTATAAGGGCGTGAAAACCTCTCTCTAGTAGATACATTTTAAAACCGTGAAGCTGACGACGATATGTAATAGGCCAAAGGAGACAATATCTGCTAGTGGTAGATTTAGAACGATACATGTATGGATGAGAAAATGGAGGTGATATGAAGTGACCGGAATGATTTGTTCAGAAAGAAAGATTTATGGAAACATAACTAGACTACCAGTACGAGTTAGTGACCTTCATTAAATGGTCTTGTCCTCTTTTGTCACAAGAAAAGGATCTAATAAGTTCATTAAGGTTAGCTAAATTATTGATGGGTAACGAACTCGTGCTACCATCATTATTGCTGTTATATGGCAGTCGAGTAGGGTCCCGAGACTCAATATCTATCTAGCTAGGCCCCTCCTATCACGTAAGATGTACGCAGGTCACTCGATATTAACTTTCCATCAAAGGTACTCAAAAGTGTTGAATATGAGAATTTAAGAGACAAATAATTTTGTGCAGCAGGTTGAGGAGGAGGCTGTAAGAAAGAGCCACACATTATTGAGTGTGCTGATAATTGATAGCAGTTGGTCCAACTCCTACTTCAAATATAAAAAGCCTTTACTATAATGGTTTACCAATTATTTGCATTTGTTTTAAATTTCTTGTGAAGCAAAGCAAAGAATAATAATACACGACAAACATGTTACGGGTTTCGATTCAGTATGGTTGAAACTTGTGATATCTTTGCAATGATTTTCAATACGTTAGTTTGTGTCGTTTATTTCTTTTAGGCGACTGTTAGTGAAATCATATTAACGTTATTTAATTATTTGTAGCTAATGAAAGTAGTATTAAGTTAGACGATCACTTGTATGGGACTATGGGACAAAGAGCAGCTCAAAATTGTTATGAGAACCGATTATAATGAACTAGAAAGGAAAAAAAGACACAAAACATCGAGACATGAAAAGATAAACTATTTATTTAATAATAGAATATGACCCGCTAATCCTACTTGTGGAAGAAACTTTTGTAAATTATTAAGAACCCTTTGAATAATTATGAACATAAAAGGTAAAGTAGATTTTCACTTTCTAAGCGATTAAGAATCTTCGCTTAATAATTATGGTCCCATTTATTCAACCTCAACCCTTTTTCTCTCTTAACCTTCTTTTTAGAACGGAAAGAAGGTATATTTAACTCGTTTATTTTATGTTAAGTTGCATGTTAGTTCTTTAATCTTTGTGTTGGGTATTTATTAGATTCATGAACTTTAACTTTAAAATGTTTACTAAATTGAATGTTCAAGTATGAATCAGACAAGTTATAATATCTAAGAATCTGATAGACATAAAATTAAAAATTAAAAGAGTCTATTATACATTGACCTTAATAATGTTTAGGAACGAAATGCATAGAAAAAAAACCCTAATTCTTCTCTTTAGCATCGTTCAACCGATAATAGAAGAGAGTTTTAAAAAATAAATAATAATAAAATAAATCAAAATTTATACATATAATTGGAGAAACATTCATAGGTTTCCTCCAAAAACAATTACATAAATAAGAAGTTTTCTTATTTTTGAGCCTAAACACAAACAAATAAACGAATATTTAAAAGTAAAAAAAACACCACTCCCCCTCCGAGATTTGTGTACATTCATTAATTAATTATCCAAAACTATGTAATTTATAATTTTAAAAAATCATTTTCTTTTTTCACCTTTACTTACTTTCTTCCACTTATGCCCCTGATGTAGTATGTGAATTTCCAGATTTCACCCTCTCCACTCGCCGCACTGCTCCGTCGGCCTGGTTTTCTGTTTGCCGGCCTTCTCTGGGCACGGCGTCTGTATTGGTGGCACCATACAATTGTACTGCAAACATAAGGAGCTACTCAGAGGAATCTCCGCCGTCGGATTGATCTCGATTCCGGTCAGAAAATTGTGCTGCAGATACAGAGTTTGAATATTCGCAGCCAACAATCGATCCACAAGGCTGTTTGGAACTTCACCGGTGAAGCGGTTGTTGTTCAGGTAAAGATTCTGCACGGAGGAAAACATTGCCGATACTGGACCTGAGAAACGGTTGTAGCTGAGATCGACAGTCGGGATCGCCACCTGATCAACCGGCTGGATCGGGCCGGTGAAGAGGTTCCGTTGCAACTGGAGGTTGACGATCGGGAAACTGAAGATCTGAGTTGGAATGGTTCCGGTGAACTGGTTCATGCTGAGGTCGAGGTAGTTCAACTGGTCGAGGCGGCTGAGGAGGCGGAAGACGGGGCCGTTGAGGCGGTTCCATGAGAGAGAGAGGTAGTTGAGAGAAGGCGGAAGAGAGTCCGGGATAAGAGGCCCGGTGAGATTGTTGTGCTTCAGATCAAGACGATTAAGGCTACGGAACGGAAACATAGGGACTGAACCTGTGAGGCGATTATGGCAGAGGATGACATTGGATAACTCCGTGATCGTTCCAATAGATCGAGGAATTTCTCCGGTGAGTTGATTGTAACTGAGGTCCAGAGTCCTCAAACTCCGAAGCTCGCCGAGATTCGCCGGGAGAGTACCAGCGATGAAGTTCCGACTGATAGCGAGAAAACGGAGGTTCTTCAGTTGGAAGAGAGACTCTGGCAGAGCTCCAAAGACTCGACCAGGAACAATGGTGAACTCCGTGAGTGCTGAGAGCTTGCCAATGGCAGGATCGATCCGGCCAACCAAACCAGGCGAACCAGCACGAGGATCCCCTAGGTTTAGGGCAACGACCTTATCAGAATCACAGAAAACACCAGCGAAATTACAAGGATCAGCCGTGAAATCCCAAGACGCGAAGAAATTAGAACCCGGCAAATCCTCCAAACCCTTCCGTATCGATTGCAGAGCCAAAAAATCAATCGGATCCACAATCGCATCCGAAAACCAACAGCATTGCACCAAACACAACAAAATCACAACATAGCTTCTCATCCGCATCCTCAAATCCCTCTGCTTCTTCTCCTCCGACATTAGAGCAACAGCAAGCTCTGATAGAGAGAAACCAACACAAACACAATACAGTTAAATAGTGCAACCAACAGGATACTTCAAGAACTCTTTCCCGTGATAAACAAACAATAGGTTGAAAATGAAGGAGATATCTCGTGAGAAACCTCTATATTAATGGCGGAAACCTGCAAAAAAGAGATCAAAAACAAAAAGAACTCCCAAACCGCGAGATCGATTAGCTTCAACAAGACGCAAACAGAGAAAAGATCACAGAATCCTCAAACAAAAAAGAAGAAAAAAATTAAAATTAAAATCAAAATCTCCAATCTCTATACTGGCTTTGCTTTTGGAAGAACTTTAATGGCTTGAGAGAGAAGATTCAATGACTACAGCCACAGCCGCTCTCAGTTCTCTGCAACACCAAACGAACCAAAAAACGCTTTTCTCTTCTTCCTTTCTTTAATGGCCGAATATTCATTTATTTGTTTGTTTATTATATTTGAGGGGGTTTAGGTTTGGAGGGCAAACGGTTGTCCGAGCCTGGAGGTTTGGATTAAGGCTTTGGAGACAGTGGTCACGTGCCGGAGATGGTGGGTTGGTTGGGGAAGAAGAGACAGAGAGGTCAAGAGCGTGACGGCCGTGAGCTTTTGGTTGATGTGGACTTGACGGCGTTAAGTTTATAATAGTCACGCGAAAATGCACGTTGGTCAACTATTGAATCGAAAATGCTTCAACAAATACTATATAAAACAAATACCATATAAAACAAATACCACATAAAACAAATACCATATTGATTGAAATATATTTTTATTCCATTTCTAGAATAGTAATTAATATTTTTTGGAATAAATTCAATTTTATACATGAATATAAAATATCTATATATATCTCAAAATTAACTCATTATATATTTAAATAAATAAGGATAATGGGTAAGAAATGATCAGTATTGCTCAGTTGTTGGTAGAGCAAAGGATCGAAAATCCTCGTGTTACCCGTTCAAATTTGTCACGAAAATAAATAAATATAATATGCCAGAAATGGCCAGTATAGCTCGGTTAGTAGAGTAGAGGACTCAAAATCCTCGTGTTACTGAAAATGATTATTATATATATATATATATATATATTAAATAAATAAATAAAGGAATGTGTCGTAAACTTTAAGAATTTTAATATGATAAATGAACAAAAATAGGAGCAACAATATGAATCTCCTCGACAACCATTGTAACAACCCAAATCCACCGCTAGTAAATATTGTCCGGTTGAGCCCATTACATATTGTGAGTCAGCCTCACTAGAAGTTTCTACATCCTTATAAGGAATGTTTCGTTCTTCATTCCAAGCAATGCAATGTGGGATCTCACAATCTACCTCCTTGAAGGCTCACGTCCTCACTTGCACACCATCCAGTGTCTGACTCTGATACCATTTGTAACAATCAAATCCCACAGCAAGTAGATATTGTCTGCTTTAACCCCTTATTTATCGCTGTCAGTCTCCCGGTTTTAAAACACATCTACTATGAAAAGGTTTCCACACCATTATAAAGATTACTCCAATTTCCTCTCCAACTAATGTGTGATTTCACAACCACAACATACATTATACAATCATCACATTGAGTATAAACCTCAAAATATGACCGGTATACATCTTTCTTAACCCTAAATTCCCAAAGAACAAACTATTTGGAAGAACAAAAATTACAAAAAAAAAAAAAAATAATAAATAAATAAATAAAAACCTAATATAAATAATATCATGAAACTTCCCTTTATACACCTTGGAAATTCTTTAACAAGTAGTTTTACTTCGTAATCTTCCAAGCCAAACACTTTACAAATATGGACATATTTCATATTATTCCACCAACAGTTACAAAAACCTTCACATATTTCAGAAATTTCATTCACAAGATCTATACAAGAGAGAGAGAGATTCACATACTTTGGCAGATGGGCATGATATTTATTTGTCACCCTTTAACCACAATAAGATCTGCAAGTTTTAGAGATTCATTAGATCAGCCTGCCAAACAAAGAAAGGAATCAAGTACTGATAAATCTGGAAGGCCAAGGTTTCAGGGTTCAACCTTCTTCAGAAGAGGTGACCATGTCACCAAATATTTTGTCATTCTCGTCGCTACATATGTTTTCGTACTCAATATTGCTACTACGGTCGGGCTCTTGATCAGTTGAAACATCATTTACATCTTGGCAACCATCATCATCATCATTATCCTCCAATGCCTTGCAAGGTTCCTCCTGGCATGTGTGTTCAAAAGTAACTGCAATTTCAAAGTTAGCACTATTGGCAACAAGAGCGTATGATTCACAGCTTAAAAGGATACATTAGTCGCACCTTTGTTCAAAGAAACTTGTTCAGTGGAAGGGAAATCGAAATCGCTGTTTGAGAAGTATAAGTCACAAGGGGAACCATCGATCCTTGAACCTTCAACTTGAGTAGATAGAATATTTGGGGATTTTGGAGCCATGCATGACTCGCTTGCTCTTTTTTCCCAATACATCTCATTTAGATGATGACAAAGGGGAGTACAAGACTTCTCGCAGCTTGCTTGATCAAAATCAATAAAATTTTCCATCCTTCTCGATGAACCTTCATGATATTAAAAGGATAGTATGGGTAACCATGCTCTATTTTATCTTTAGATGAAGTTTTGAACCAAAAAAGAAAGAAAGAAAGAAAGAAAGAAAGAAGATATGGCATAAAAAGGATTAGCAATAGCATCAACACCAACTAAAGATTAATCTGCACAATTCTCTTCTATAAACTCACAGTACGGAAGGAAACCAAACCAACAAATAGAAGCAATAACAAGTTTAAATAGACAAGCCATTCATAAGTTCAAGAGGATTTTTATTTCTCACCCCCATCTGAGCTCTCTGTGGAGCTAAGTGATGCAGGTTTGGAGTGACAAATAACGACAATTTCTTCAGTAACTTTGACCACGGACTGGTACGTCTCGGAAGAAGTAGGACTGGAACATCTTCCCAAAACAAGCCCTCTGAATCCACAAAAACAACCGAACAGTCAATATTTTATAAAAGAAACCTTCTGTTAGCAACAGATCACAACAAATGTTAAAGCTCATATATAAACCAAAAAAAGGAATAGCATACACATCCATATGCCAAAATAGAATTTAAACCTATTTTGTTTTATCAAACTTGATCAGAAAAGTAAAATTTTTTAGGACGAAAATGAATTTAAAATAATATAGTTTTATAAAATTCAGTTTCGAAACGTAGATCTTAAAACAGTTTCAATGATCTCAAGATTCAATGTTCCCAAGTCTATATTCTACAAAGATTTAAGAAACCCATATGATACAAGAATTATTCTGTAAGATATTGAAACTAAGAACTTGTACTCGCCTGTCATTGCAGTCAGATTTGAGGCTGAGGCAATGGTCAAAACAAGGTAACAGTTCCTTCTCCGCGACTTCAATTTCTTGAACTGGGACTTTTTCGATTTCGAACTCTCCACCAGCTATACTACTGATTCTCGGAGAAGTCATTACGTAAATCTACAGTAGAACAAATCAAAGTATTAATGTGTCAAGATAGTGATATAATACTTCCCACACATGAAGTACCTTTGAGTTTTGCCAAATTGGTAACCTTCCAGAGCTTATTTGTAATTCTGCATTTGATAGAAACCAGTGGGATTGCTCATGAGATATACCAGATTGACCTCTGACTCTAAGAACATTTTGTGCACTAGAACCATCATTCAACTCCTGGAAATCAAAATCATACGTTTCCTCAGTATTTGTTCTTCCATTCTGAATCGTTTTGGTTTTGGTTTTGGCTACATCTTGCCCGTCAAAGGTGGATTCGATAATGCATTCCCCTCTTTCTGAATAATCTGATCTTCTACATGCATCCCACCACTGAATAGGCTCAACTTTTAATTTAAGATCATCTTCCTGCATATGTAAGAAAGAACTTGATTCGGTTCTTGAACTGTGGAGACTTGGTTCAGCACCAAAAGAAGGCAGAAGTTCATGCTGAACTACATGACCTGAAGGAGTATAAACCAATAGATGCTCCAAGGAGTTGGACTTTGAGTTTACATGCTGAATATTGTGAGAGAGTGTATTATGAAAAATAGCAGCAACAGCACCAGAAGGCACGAAACCTTTTCCTGAACCAGCTGAATTGTTTACAGTATTTAGCCATCCAAAGCTGCTATATTTAATTCTACTCACAACAGACAGAGAAACAGGTGGTGGAGGTGGGAAAGGTTGCTGATTTAAACTAAGTGATGATGTGGACCACCAGGGTAAAGATAGAACTGGAAGCAGACACGGTTCTTCGCCCTGAGAATTAAGAATTCTGAATCCGGCTTCACCACCAAAAGGAGACAAGAGAAAAACATGGCACGTCCCCTTGGATGAAACAATTGCCACCCATTGACTGTAGTTACTAAAGCAAATATCCTGGATCATCTGTGACATAAGTAGACAGAAAAATGGAAAAGCTAAGAAAATTTTAAAACACAGGAAGATGAAGACCAAGTATACTACCATCAGAAAACCACATTTGTACTAACAGCTGATGTTATTCCTCGGTGCAGTTTGTAAAGATGGATGTGAGAAGAGCTGAAGTCAAAGCTTCGACTACTTGATCCACTGTGCGAGTTCAGTATGATTCGGAAGATATTGATGTTATTCCCATATATCGATGCAGTCACTAGAAGTGTCCCACTAGGATCAAAACATAGTGCAGACAATGGGCTGGTGTGAGCTCTAAACTGAGTTATAATTGCCCGAGTAATAAAATCTTTAACAGCAACCTACAATAACCATTTTGGTCAAATGAATCAAAGATATAAAATTCAACATTTCACACGTTTGCATGACTGTCAGATGTTTTCCCCTCTTGGGTTTCAATTTATGGAACAGATTAAACTAAAGGTCTAATTTGTGCAAGAAGATGAAGTCCATTTCATTATAATGAAAATCAACCTTGAATATAAATGCCAAAAGAACTAAATGGGTGACTCAAGCATTACAAAAATAAACAAAACCATAGAGAATTCACTGTTCAAGCATAAGCAACATAAATATTTGAAAAAATTACTGTCTTTTAGAATGATGCAGAACATGATGTTCATATTCCTGGAAATGGAAGGAAAACTATATTCATGAATTTCCAGTAACATATTGGACTCACGACAGTGAACACTAACCATCCCAGGATAATCTGCTTCCATTCCTGCATGTCTTCCCGCTTTCCTTCCTGAATTTGATTCAATCAATAAATTAGACTTGTTAGGATTCAGATCTTGACAGTACTTGAACCATGCTTTATATCCCATATCACTCAAACTGACAATTCCAGCTGCAGTTGCTTACCAGACTTCACTGCATAATGAGCATTTGTCCTATCACTGCATGGCAAAGATGAGGGATTAACACCCCGAGAGAGGCATAGGCTTTGTGAACTTAATGGAACAGTGGTTGATGGTAATGGGCCAACAGCAGGATATGCTAACCACCTCGGACCCACAGCCATGGGACCATAACCAACATTAATCCCAGTGGTTCCTTGTCCTGATATCTCAGGAACTGGAGAGGTCAAAACACTAAATACAATCTCAAGGGTGATTGCGTCGAAGCAATATATCTGCCACCAAACATCAAGTCAGTTAGAAAGTTCGTCTCATGAACAACATGCTGGAAATATTACATTCATAATCTAAGAAGTTATATAAGAGAGATCCTACAACTGAAAAATATAATAATTCATATCATAATTGCAACTTGGGGGGGGGTCATTTGAACAATACTTGAACAGAAATGCAGATCATCATAAATTGTATTCGTCAGTGCATTTTCTCTATGTTAAGAACATACACTTCAACAAGTTGTTACCATCAAAACAATTTTATATCCATAGTTGTCAGTCATTTTGGTCCTTACTTGTGTAGACAGGCCCACAGCTACTATCTGAGCACTGCATCTAACCATGCAAACAGCAGATCTGAATCTCAAAATATGCACATAAGAGTGAGACTTGAGGGAGTAAAACTGAACAGCATTGTGAGAGTTGGCACAACTTCGGTGGACACCTATAGGACCATGGTTTTGTCCCACAGCTACTTCCTTACTTTCTTCTCCTGCAACAATCAGCAATAAAGGGTGTGATCCTCTGAGTACATCATGACTATCAGGCTTTTCTGGAGTATCAGGCATTGCTGGAGAAGGATGCATCTGTAAGAATGAAACAGGGCCACCACGCTTTGAAACAAGTTCTTTGAAGTTAGAAGCATCCTCCACGTCAAGTACTTGAAATCCACTCAGATAACCAAGTAGGAGAACGTGCCTTATGACAGATGGTTCGACTTCCAGAATGTCAAAACCAGCCCAAGTTACCTGCTCAAAAGTCATAACAAACATATACATAGTTTAAAAGACAACAGAAGCTAATAAAAAAGCTTAAATAATAATTTTGAGGTAACATATAAAAGGAAAGATAAAGCACCGCAGAACATCAAAAGGGAGAAGCAAGGACCCAGGGAGATAAGATATCTCCTCTAGGAAGGGATAAAAAAAAATGCCCTAAATACAAATTTGTAAAAAAAAAAAAAAAAAAAAAAAAAAAAAAAAAAAANTACAAATTTGAAAAAAAAAAAAAAAAAAAAAAAAAAAAAAAAAAACTCTGTACTGAACAAAGTTACAGAAAAGCAATTCTCTTTGGTGACAAATTACTTATGGTTTAAAATTGTTGCCAGCAAGCTTTCGCCGGACAGTTGCAATTGGGGCACAAAACTTCTTTTAAAGCCTCCACTCATAGACCCTGGTTTTCCATAGCTCATTCTCTTCGAACACTATTTTTCAGTCCGAAGATGGATCTAGTGTAAACTTTTCAGTTGATCTGTGGATTATGAATTATCTGTGGCTTCCAATTCTCCTCGCCTTTTCAGATTAGCAGGTTTGAGAACTTCTCTGTTCAGCATTATCAGAGTCCTGAATCACATGTCTTTGATTTTAGTAAGAACTTAAATTGATAAGGAGGTGGAAGAATCACTATCTTTAATTGAAAATTGGAGTGTCTCTTTGTCTAAGGCCCCAGACGAGGTGAAGTGGTGGATAGTTGGCCTTCAAGTTCCTAAACTTGCAAATGTTTTTTTTTTTTTTTTTTTTGGTCAATCCTGCTTATTACGGCTAATTATTCTAAGAGGGTCAGGATTTCCCTTTTTACCGCAGAAAACTGGTAGAAATGATACTACTATGTTTCTCCATCCTAGTTGGTGCTGCCTTTGTATAAGATCACAGTAAGACGCCAGAAATTTGTCTTTCAATACTTCCATTAATTAGTTAGCGTAGAATGTTTCTAACAGATTTGGTGTTTACATGATCCTCTATAAGTTGGCAGAGCCATAGAGGATGGTATTGTTGTAGCCTTTGAGGTGTTCATCACGACAACAAGACTACTGACGTATTGCTGAATACTATTCTGGCACTTGAAGTGCATTTTTAAATGTTCTTAGAACTCTCAAAATCATTTCTAATTATCTAACAGGACAGAAGGAAATTTTCGAAACGTCCTTTTAAATGGGATAAAGAGCATTTTTATCCTCCCAAAAACCATCTAAAGCTCATCAGGATAGAACTGTACAACCTATAGGCGATATCCTCTTCAAGTAAGGTCATCCTCTGAAACTCACCCTATGTGGAACTTTGTAAGCTTCCAAATGAAATTTTGGGAGTCTACCGTTTTTGTTGCTCCTTCGATTTCTACAGTTTGGTTATGAAATCTGATGCTTATTTATATCTTAGTCTAAGGTAGTAAAACTAACTATATCTGGAAAAGCTACCTATAGTAAACTAAACGGTACCCCATTAGTCAATTTGAAAATGTGCTTTCTTATTCTCTACTACTGTACATATGAGAAGTTATCAATACAAACCTTTAGCTAATACTCCACCCTGCATTTTGTCTCTCCTGTTCTTTGTGTTCATCTAGATTGAGTGTGTGCATTGTTGTGCGATCGTAACATCTTCATTTTGAAGAAATCTACAATTAGAACCCTTCTTCTATTTCCACAAATAGTGGCCCTTTGTAATCTCAATCGAAGTAGGAAGATTTTAACAAAAGAATAAGAGTTTCACACAAAAAAAGAAAACCCAATAATCCATTTTTAGTGAGGGCCTGAGAGGGTGGATAAGAACTACAATTTTCCATTTTTCTCAGGCCTCCTCCCATCCTCTTGCCATTTTCCGGCTTATCCGCCCTATGTTTGCTACTACACTCTCATTCGTACTCCTGGTCAAATGTAAATCAACAAGTGTCGACGCCTTATCTAACATTTTGTAAAAACAAGTGATTTCCCATTTACTTAGATGCTATTCATGGAAAAATATCGAGAGAAATCCACGAAAACATGTTCAAAATTTGTTGCCAAGGAATCACTAACAATAGCAAGCAAGCATTCATCGATAAGCTAAAATAAAAGGCCATAAGTAATTGCAGCAGAAAATGAACACCTGATCCTTCTCATCCTCGGAATAAGCTGCCGAAATCGAAGCGGCAACCGAGGCACCGGCAGAGCGGACCGTCGAAGCAACGGTGCTGGCATTTGTAGACACCGTCTTCAAGCACGACGAGATAATTTTCAGAGAGTTAGGCAAAAGCCCGAGGTTCCTTCCCTTCCCCTTCTTCATCAGCCCTCACAAAACCTTCTTCAAAGCTTTATCGACAAGTACCACCGTAGCAACACAGCACTATCTCTACGAACTCACTCGGCCAACCGTCCAAATCACCATCAGAATCATCAGCCTCACCCTCAATCACCTCTGTTACTAAATCCGTCTCCTGTACCACCGCCGAAGAACATCTCCGATCGCCGCCGACGATCGGGTATCTCATTCGAAAACTACAGAGTTATTAAACAAACGCAAAGAAATTCAGCTCAGTACTTGAGAACTCGATTTCACTTTATCGGAAGTTGACTAAAAAAAGCTCTGTTTCTGGCGATCGCAATTATAGCTCCAAAATATGATCGTATTCGTTCGTTCTGTCGCTTTCATGACTATAGTTTCCTCCCTCGGAATTTCTGCGTGTCGACCGTTCTTCCCGCATATTTCGGGGGTTAATGTGAAAAACAGTAATTTCCTTAGGTAGTGAAATTTAAACCTTTCATGTTCGAGGACCACTTTGCAAATAGTTACTAAATTAAGCCGCCCGTTTACCCAATGGTTTTTAAGCCGCCGCTTTTTACATGTAAATTAAAAAATTTATGTGAACTTAATTAAAAATCATATAAAATTGAGATATTTTTACCCTTTATTTTTCATACATTTACGGCATAAAATTGTAGTACTCAAATAATTTATTGTTTACTTAGAGTGAATAGGGATGACTATTATTTTCTTTTTTTCCCTTAGAGTAGAAATTTAAATATATATGACATTTAATCGATGACGTAAAATTTTATTTAAATAAAGATATTCAAATTTATTGTAAATATGATATTGCAATTTTAAAAATCCAAATAGATTTTATTGGCTTTTTGTTTCTCGTATAAATTGCGAAAATATATTTAATTTTCTTGCATGAAAAAAATACATATTATTATCATTCTTTAGCTAATTTCGATTAAAAAAACACAAACTAAGAAAATTTATTGAGATTTAATATCTAAATAACAAATAACAAAGTGATAATTTAATATCTTCCACTATATATGTTTTAAGGAAAAAGAGATCAACTTTATTGTTTAGGGACTAGAATTGAAACTTTTTAACTTGAAGGACTAATTTGCAAAATAGTTATTAAGCATTTAATTTCAGCATATACATTGAAGCATGTTCAATGTATTAAAAAATGTGGAAGTAAGAACATTAAATAGATTTTTAAAAAACAAAAATTAAGTAAATTAAAAAAAAGCTCTTTTTTTTTCTTTGTAATTACTTTAGCACATAAATAAGTACCCTTTCATACTAATTTAATCTTTTCAATGAAATGAAGAATTCAATGTTCCACGTCCCACAAAAAAAAAAAAAAAAAAAAAAAAAAAAAAAAAAAAAAAAAAAAAAAAAAAAAAAAAAAAAAAAAAAAAAAAAAAAAAAAAAAAGTAATGAAAAGTTGTTATATTCAAAAGTTCAAGATGATATGAAGGATTGCTATTGTTGGTTCGAAATCAAAATAAGGAGATCGAACCATTAATCCAGGCTATCTAATAATCAAAGAAACAGCTGAGAGGAAATTGCCAAAGTGCTGATCCCAAATTGGTATCCTCATTCGCCCATTTTACATCAGAGCAACAAACAAAGCCTCCGGCCTTCCCATTAATTTAGCATTTTATAACTCAATCCTCTACGTCACTTACACACTGACCATCAATTTGTTGATTGAAAACGGTCTATGTGAGGCTTATATGGTCAGTCTACTAGCATCAACTGATGATCATCTTCTTGAAAAATTCAGCTTGATCAGGAAAATACTCCATCAATTCATCCTTTGTAACCCATACAAAATCTTCACATTTCCCAATGTTGAATTTATTGGTTGCGATCACTTGAGACTTAAAAAAGAATCGCTGGCAAATGGGAGAGATTTCCTTTCAGCAAACGAGTAAATCACCTCATTGTACTAAACTATGTTCGAGTTTAAACTCTGTACTTTGAGTTTTATTCTATTTTAATCCATCAATCAATAAATCTTAAATATAAAGCCTAAATTTGGACAATCAAAAGTACAAGGACTAAAATAGAATATAATCTAAAGTACAGAGATCACATGGTATTTAATCGATTCTAAGTGTCAAAGCTTGGAGCCTTTAATCTCTTATATGATGTAAAAGTTTGAATAGAAGACATACCTTCAAAGATGGAACTTGAGCAGTTTCTGTAGGTGGTACAACCATATGAGCCATTGGAGCATTGCCGACAAAATATGTATGAGAAAGACCTCCAAGAACAGACTCTAAGGCAGACTCTGCACACTGCAGAACTTGAAAGTTAGAAGGGTTTAATTGTTGAAAAAGAGAACTGAAGAGTGTTGGCAGCCAATTCTCACTTTACGTAATGTCTCCTCGGTCTCGTAAGCTTTTTCTGGAAAGTGCCAGATAGGTTTCTTATCAGGTGCCCCAATAGAGGCACCATAGAGGAGAAGGTAGAGTCTTCTGTCGAGTGCTCTCTGCAGTGACCTAAAAGGAAAGGGGACAATTCAAGTAACCAGAATTTAAACCTCTCTTTTGAGCTTAGAATCTGGAATAATTAATGACATGGATCAGATAGACTGTCTAAAACAACAATGAGAAAAAAAAAGAGATGCAGTATTCTAGAGTAAGAAATACGCCGATGGCCTGATATAGTAACCAAGTGATGATAATTCAGCATTTATTCGATATACCATGATATCCGAAAATTGTCTTATGAATCAAATGAAAAAGGTTTCCCCAGGAATAAAACAAGTTGCATTTATCATCATGAATCGAGTAGAACCGTGGTATTATAGATGTAAGAGCACTAAAGTAAATGAGTTGAAAGCAATATGCATGACACCGCAGCGACGCTTGGATATAAAAGCGTTGTACATGAATCAAGAGCATTACATAATCACAACTATAAAAGAATAACCTCACAACTTATGGTAGTCAACTAACAGAAGCAAGAGGAAACTGATGATCTAGAAGAGTAAAGGAAGAAACACAAGGATAGCCTCGTAAATCAAAACAATGAAGATAATTCAGCATGAACATGGACAAGAGCTCATAGATTGCATATCTGTTTTGCCTAAATAGTGATGGTCGCATCACTAAGGAAACCTTCAATCAACCAATTCTAAAAAGAATTATGAAGAAAGACTGCATACTTCCTATCATTTGTTTTGTCAGCTTCAGTAATCCGTGGAGCTGGAACATAATCAATTTGGTAGTCACCTTTTCCCCTGTTATCAGAGCAAGCTCAAGTCTTAGAATTGCCGAAAGAAAGAAAAAACATATATTTGCAATTTATCCAGTCTTTGCGCAATAAGCTCCATGAGACATTGATGGCACTAAGAGTTAAGGCTGCCTTGTCAAAATATTTCTTATGATATCGGCATACGAAATTGCGCTAGCGATAGTTATATATTGGTGATTCCAGTAACTGCAGTCACCCAGTTTACAACCAAATGAACTAAGATAACACAGGAAGATGAAGAAAACACAAAGGTGGTCTTTTTCCACCTAAATAATCCAAGCAAATGATTCAAATGTACAATAACCTGACTACCTAAAAGCTATGGCATATGTTTTTCTCTTGTCAAAGATACTCGGCTCACTACTAAAGGAAGCGCTAATATTTGCCAGCAAAAAGCTTCAACACAGAAGATTCCAATGAAGTCATAAAGTTTAACATTACCAATAACTGGTAACTTTCTTTAGATGCTTTTGTCTCCGTTCCAAAAGTACTTAGAGTTAATACTTCAGTTTCATAAATCAGGTTGAACCAGTAAGCGGACCTAATTTTATTGCAGCATTTACATGGAAACAATATTCAGGAATATAGAGCATCAGAATCAGTTAAAACTTATTTCAATGGAATGGAAACCTAAGAAGAATTAGAAGAGTTCAAAAGGAAAGAACAGTTGAAACTATTCATAATCCAAAATCCTATACTTGACACAGCCAGACGAAATGATAGATCACATACCTGGCATTAGCTTTATCTAAAAATTCATCAGGATATCGGCGCCGATATTGTTGTTGCCACCTAAACCTGATCACAGTCGAACAGAGATATCAGAACTGTTTGCACAGAGAGTACACCATACAGATGTTGCTTGATTTAAGTTGCGACCATATAATAGCTATAATACATTAACCACGTAGTTCGAATTCCAATTCCTGGTTATTCACTATTCTGATGGAAATCAAGTTAAGATACAGCACCTGTTCCGTCATTTTTCCTCATTTTCCAATATTTCTTAGTTTTCAGAGACCGTAATAAGAAATACAAGAAATAAAACCTACTTGAACTCCTGAAATGCGTACACCACGGGGTCAATCTTCGGAATCACGACTGGCAGCCTCTCGAACAGTACAGACGCCACAATTTTCTCGGAATTCGTCGAAAAACCTCGCCTCTTCGCGAGCTGACTGGCTAAACTAAACGATCTCTGCATTCTGAACTTCAGAGAATCACACACAACCGATTAGAGAAAAAGAAATAACAATTCACACACCATACAAGAAATTTTTAGAAAGATGATACTAGAACTTGCATCGAAGCTCTAAGAACAGGTTGAACCGATATTGTACATCCATTCATACGCTTCCATTGGAATATTTTTCACACAGAAAACTAACAAAGGGCAAAGTGTTCACCTGAGAATGGGAGAGTGACCGTCGACGGCGAGGGCTGCGCTTTGATAAATCTCCTCCTATTGTTCTGTTTCTGACTGGGCCGCCGGAGGTTGCGTATACTATAGGCTTTGGGCTGAGTTTAACCATTGGGCTCCTTTTGGAAATGTCGTCGGGAGGGTCATTTTGGTAAAATATATTTTTCTCTCTTGATTTCAAAATTGTACCTTTTATCTTTGGCTTTTATAAAATATCAAAATATGATTTAATAGTTAAATTAATTTTTAAGCTTACGTGGCATTTCTCTCTCTTTCTAGTAAAAATGAAAATACAAATTAATTTTTATTGGTATTTTTCTCTTTATAAACCCCCTTATGTATGGTATATAAATAATTAATAGGGTATATTTTATGAGATTTAATTTAATCCACACCAGCTGCTTAGTGCATCAGCCTTATAGTAATTGAGTCGAGAAGTATGACCTTCGAGAGACGTTTCTCCCCATACCAGCTGTCTGGTGCATCGGCCTTACAATAATAGGGTCAAAGAGTATGACCCTTCGATTAGAACGCCTCATATCTCGTGACACGCAGATTTTAGTGAACCTCTCAATAGGATTCAAATTCATATGAAGTTCTAACCATATTAGAGAGAAACAGGAACTAATGGATCTTGTAAAATTCTTGAATTTCTTCTTGAAGCTTACATATTAAATGACGTAATTAGAAGTCATATATTCAAGAAATAGCCCGTCCATCAAATAATAAAAATGGTTTTTTAAACGGGTTAAATTCTCTCATTGACATATAAGAGAGCATTGGTTTGAAATGGTTTGTATCGATGTTCGTTCCTTTCAATTTTTTTTCTTCAAGTAATATTATTCATCTATAAATTTTCAATTTCGCGTCTAATAGACAGTTGTTGACCTATTGAAAAAATTAAAATTAATCGACTTATTAGATATAATTTTGAAAGTCGAAGAAAACCTTGAAACTTGAAGAACTTATTTAAGGTAAATTTAAAAGTGGGAGTTTTGACACTTTAAAAATATCGAGATTTAAATAGCATAACCTTAAAATTATCCGCTTAAACTTTTAGTTTTATAACGTGTGTATAATAGATTTATGCTTTAAAAAATTGACACCTATCAAACATTAAATTTTCAAAATAAATCATTAATTTTTATTTAAAACTTTAGGAAAGAACTAAATTATAATTTTTTAATTAAAAGTGATAATCGAAGATAATTGAAATATAATTGAGTTGTAATAAGAAAAAAAGAAAACAATAATAAATTATTTGTAAAGTTGTATGGGAATACATCGCCTTGGTTTGTTGTTTTTGTAAGCCATGGAAGGGAACTTGGGGGAGATAAAATAGCGATTGTCCCACATCGGAAGTCGCTGAGTTGCGTAAATGACAAACACCTATAAAATGCGCCTCCAAGCTTGCTGAAAAGCCACGGAGCCGTGCGGTGATCCCAGAGCGAACTATTCTTTCGCCTTTTACTAAAGAATACCGTGTGCTCACCGCCCATAGCGGCATACGCCTATTTTTGGAGGGGGCGACCTTACTGGGTAACTCCTACAAATTGCATTTAAAATGTTTCATAGCTTAGCTCGAACTAATTCTATTCGCTGCCTATCATTGCAGTTTTTGTTTACTTGTTAAATTTGTTGGTTTTATCATCTATTCTTATTCCCATTTTACAATTTTAGTATTACTTAATTCTTTTATAATAATTGCAATTTAATTGTAGCTCATAAGTAAAGAGTAGGATGGTTTTAACAGAATTAAGCATGAATTTAGACGTATGGATCACAGCCTATGTTCCTATCGGTCAAAAGCATTTTATGATCTTTTATTTTGAAAAATATAAATTTATTTTTTAGAAAATTTCCTATTTTAATCCATTGCTACAATTTTACATCCAATTTTGACAATAAATTAAATTTTTTTTAAAAAATCCCATTTTAATCCGTTACTGCAATTTTATATCCAATTTTGACAATAAATAATAATAAAAAAAAAGCTTCAACCGAGTGGTTAACTTGATTTAAACAATTTAATTAACTTTCTGTTTAAATAAGAAATGTATTATATTTGGATTGAAAATGAAAAAGAAAAAAACATTAAACATTTAAAATCGAATTAGCATGATGAAGGATTGCTTGTAGTGTTAGGAAGGGAGAGAAAAGAGAAAAAATGGAAAAATAGTTAAACGTTGACAGCAAAATTCAAAGCAGCAATGTTCGAAGTTCAAGATTTTTAAGTCTGTCTCCTTAACCATATCAACTTTGATGCTTTAAATTCGAATATTAATAAAATTTAATAAATAGTTAACATTGATAAAATTATTTGTTTATCCTAAATTTAAGACCTATTTTAGTTAACTTTTTAAAGTATATTTTAACATTTTCAAATTTAATTTAATTTTCCAGATTTTTAGATATTTTATTTTAATTAATAAACTTCGCATAAAAATTTATTTTAATCATCTTTATTAATTTTTCATTAATACTTTAAATAGTCAATGCATCACTTACTAGATATTATTTTAAATATTTATTGTAATGAAATCTATTCGTACATAAATGAACGGTTAATTTTTTAATTTCCAGATTTTATGTATATTGGTCCAATTTCTAAAATTTGCAAAAAAAAAAAAAAAAAAAAAAAAAAAAAAAAAAAAAAAAAAAAAAAAAAA